AAAAGCAACTTTATTATAGTAACGTGAGTAATTGTAATTCGTTACTTTCCACCTCTGGCTGTGACTCTGCCATTTGTGTAAGTACTTGCAATCTATTGCCGTCTCTACAAACACCAGCAGTCACATTTGGAAAATCTTAAAAAAAACGAATTGACAAAACTACTTTAGATTGAATATTATGAAGTTGTAAGAGGCTGGAAAACATTCTGCATTTGGATTAATGACAAACCCTACTGGTGAGATATGCCTTGGTGTTGGCTGCAGCCAGAAGGGGGCATACAGGCCAAGCCCAACAGAGAGCACCCTTTATTCCATGGCAGAAGGAAGGGAGGAAGTCTGACAAAAGAGGAACAGGATGCTTTAACTGGGCTTTTCTCTCCTCCTCTCTTGAAGCACTGAGTGGTGAAACAATCTCTCTGGTGAAAGCGAAGCATCCAGGAGATCTCCCCTGTGTTTTTGATGGAAGGCAGTCAAGCATAACAAGACATGTCAGAAACTAGCTCTGGTTAGGGCCACGGCACAGTCTTCTGTAGTAGCAACGCTCCTGGTCAGGTTTTTCATTTTCCATAACAGGGACACAACCATAAGGTCTCATATTCCCTGATCAGTTAGCAGAAACAGGTGCTAAATCGGCAGTCAGCACTTTATCAAATGGGGGAATGCGTTATAAGCAGTGACAGGTCTGGGAAAGCTCAAGAGTGGTGCCAATATATAGAATTGCTGTGATGGTTAATGTTGGCTTGTTGTGATTTTGGGGCAGGAAATGTTGTTGAAACTAACCAAGTAATGTTGGAAATAGAACTTGTCAAGACTGTATATGTGAAGGAGGTGGTCCATAAATTTAAATTATATTTTAAGGAAGGTGAGCAATATCTGCAACCCCAACACAGAGAATGAATACATACCGTAAAATACACAATACCATGTAAGCCCAGATGTCTACTGGATGTGGATCTTGCGCCATTAGTTACATCCGTATGGGATCAAATGTCTACTGGAAGCCTTTCATAAGTTGAGTGTCTTCAAACAGGCAGCTCTATAGCAGACACAAAGTCATAGCAGTCATAGAAATCAATAATCAATCAATGGAATAATAATTTTTAATATGGGGATAAATCTGCATAAATTTCAACCAATCTCCTCTTCTAGAAGCATATATAGTGTTGCACACAGTTGTTCACATGGAAAGACCTGTTAGTGGTCAGTAATTTTAGTGCATCACATGTTTTGTTTTCGCATTCACTATATTGACTAATTACACAAAAATAATAATATAAACAGGGGACAATGTCTAGAGCTTCCAGTAAAGGTAATTCTATTCAAGGTGACAGAAGCGTGAATGCTTATAATAGTGGTGTCCTTGGCAGTCAGGGGCTCTGACAAAAGAGCAGCCTTGTAAATATGGATGTTTCTTCTGTTCACAGGTGTGGTGTATAAAAATTCCTCATGGGAGACCAATCTAGTGTTGACATTTGCATGGGTGGAACTAGAGCGAGCGAAAGCCAAACTCATGAATAGAAATAAGTGTTTGTATTGATTATTGTGTTGGATGTGGATGGCCTTTAATGAGAGAGAAACACAGAAAGAAAGAGAGTGACGGACAGAAATTGAGACAAACAATGAACGGGAAGTAAAGAAAGAGAAAGTCCTAGGAGGTTGTAACCCACTTCAATCTACCCTTTTGAAACCAATACAACATATGTAGATATCAATACAAGCAAGCTTATAAATATGCACCACACAGAGCAGCACAGTGACAACCTGATCTCAGGTGGCACATCCTCAAAATTGTTGTTTTCTGCCATTCAACTCACCATTTGTGGTTTGTTGTGGCTTCTTATATGTCATACTTGTGGAATACATTGAATTGTATCAGATAATATGGAAAAAGGAGAACACTTTCAGTGTAGCAGTGATATAGAAAGGTAGTGTAACATAAAGATAAACAACCTGATTGAGTGCAAAAGACAAGGTAGAAGAACACTCCCCCCCCCCCCCCCGAATAGGTTCATACGTTATCCGTACAACACAGTACTTATAATAATGAGAGCTTTATACATAAATTGTTAAAGCCTTCCTTATGGAATGGCTAATGAATGACTAAAGTATCGAATGAATCGACTACACTTGCATCTTTCTCACACTGATCAAAGAAATACGTTGATTAAGAGTTATATCTGTAAGTTGACTAACAGAATATTACACAGATCATGTTTCAGTGTAGCTAATCAGCTAGCTAGCTATGTAGGAAGATGTCACCTCCACTTTTAATGAATAAATCTGATTCAGAAGTCTAGAATTGGACTGTGTTAGCACTGTTATTAAGAAATTCATGATAAATGAATTGCCTAATTTTATTTCTGTCAGTAATATTCCTTACTTTGCTATAGCTAGAGAGCAGCAGTAGAGGCAATAGCATTGCAAGTGTGGCTTAAGTCATTGCAGTCCACTTCTTCTTGTGTGCGTGCCGACATTTTGATTCAAAGAGTAATCCTTCTTACATCTGCCATCACAAGGATAGAATCTGCATCAAGTTTATTTTCAAGTTCAGTTGCTCCTGAAACATATGTGTCCTGCAAAAAAATTGTGTTATATTTATCATTAATGTAAAGTATTGCTCGTTTTCCTTGTGTATGTGTGAGAGATTCAGAGAGAAAAAGCAATTGTCTGTGTTTGTGAGCATATGTATGAAAACTTGTGGTTAGAGCGCATTTATGTCATGGTATTTCTCTCTGGGCATTTGAGCGTTTGATATGCAGAGTATAGAGCGGTGACCTGTGATAAAACGGCAGACTGCAGAGTGTCATGGGAATTACTGCAGTGTAACATGGTCGATTGCACCTGTTACCTAAGTAAAGTACTAACTGATTCCATAGGGCACTTTTCTCCGGAGGCAGTGACATAGGATAAGTTGTATATATGTATGTGTGATCTAGATAAATGCACTCATGCTTATTCACTGACCTGTAAACCCACGGGTAATTTCCTGTTTCTGTCACCGGGGCCAGAGACAATTTTCCATGTTAAGACACAATTTGCCAACTCAGCACCTGGTAAGAGTTTGGTCAAACCTTTGTGCCCAAACATGAACAAAAATATCAACATTTCTGAATACAGTGAATGTATGATAAGAGTTTATGGTGTTCATTGCCAGTAAGTGTTATTTCTAGACCAAGGTTGGAGATTATAAAGTAAAAAGTAGTTGCCGAATATAAATATCTCTCCACTGAATATTCTGTATTTCTGAGATGCTTAACATGTTGGACTCAACCCAGCAACCCAGACAGAGGGTATAACAAACATTAATGTGAGAATTCCTAAGTATACTTGACTCACAGTTTGGCATATAAGGCTGTCAAGCCTTCATGACACGGACATTGAGGTGCATTAGTTGAAATCAGATTTGAAGCTGTGAGTTTTAAATTGGTTTAAAATAAAAAAATTGTGTAAGAGGGGTGGTGTTAAAATCACTTCTTAAAGGCCATGTTATGGTTTGTTTATATCTTGTATCTTTATACATTTATTATAGTTGTATAGTAGTATAGTTAGTTATAACTATAGTTATCTATATTATTCCTAAAATATATGTACTGCCCTTAACATGTTGACTTTTCTAAATTAACAGTAGTGCATTGTTATTTTGCTCTGTAAAGTACTTATTTACAGATAAAACTTAAAATGATACCTTTTGCAAAGAAGTTTTTGCTGATTTGAATTGTGTATTGTTGGTGTTATATTAATGTTATATGAATTGCTTGCGGGTAAATGTATGTGGGAATGGCAAAAGGAAATGTAAACATGACTTGCATTGCCCTATTTATGCTGCGTTACACATGAAAAATGTAATATATTTAAAAAAAATATATATATATATAATAATATAATACATGTTCTGCAAAGGTATATGTATATGAGTATGGTAAATAAATTGTATAAAAAACACACATTAAGGTAGAGACCCAGCTTTTCTCCATCCTCAAACTACATACAGTATACACTCAATAATCAAAGGATTATTAGGAACACCTGTTCAATTTCTCATTAATGCAATTATCTAATCAACCAATCACATGGCAGTTGCTTCAATGCATTTAGGGGTGTGGTCCTGGTCAAGACAATCTCCTGAACTCCAAACTGAATGTCAGAATGGGAAAGAAAGGTGATTTAAGCAATTCTGAGCGTGGCATGGTTGTTGGTGCCAGACGGGCCGGTCTGAGTATTTCACAGTCTGCTCAGTTACTGGGATTTTCACGCACAACCATTTCTAGGATTTACAAAGAATGGTGTGAATAGGAAAAAGAGGCTACAATTTGCAAGAGCTCACCAAAATTGGACAGTTGAAGACTGGAAAATGTTGCCTGGTCTGATGAGTCTCGATTTCTGTTGAGACATTCAGATGGTAGAGTCTGAATTTGGCGTAAACAGAATGAGAACATGGATCCATCATGCCTTGTTACCACTGTGCAGGCTGGTGGTGGTGGTGTAATGGTGTGGGGATGTTTTCTTGGCACACTTTAGGCCCCTTAGTGCCAATTGGGCATCGTTTAAATGCCACGGCCTACCTGAGCATTGTTTCTGACCATGTCCATCCCTTTATGGCCACCATGTACCCATCCTCTGATGGCTACTTCCAGCAGGATAATGCACCATGTCACAAAGCTCGAATCATTTCAAATTGGTTTCTTGAACATGACAATGAGTTCACTGTACTAAAATGGCCCCCACAGTCACCAGATCTCAACCCAATAGAGCATCTTTGGGATGTGGTGGAACGGGAGCTTCGTGCCCTGGATGTGCATCCCACAAATCTCCATCAACTGCAAGATGCTATCCTATCAGATATATCCTAGAATGCTTTCAGCACCTTGTTGAATCAATGCCACGTAGAATTAAGGCAGTTCTGAAGGCAAAAGGGGGTCAAACACAGTATTAGTATGGTGTTCCTAATAATCCTGTAGGTGAGTGTACATTAACAGTGTTACTGAGCAGAGGGGACTCACATTGAGCCAGTATGCGGCCATTGCGGTCTTGAACTTGTCTCTGGCCTCTTCCATCTCCTTCTCATGCTGACTCTTCTCGCTAATCAGCCGGCGGACATGGCTGTTGGAGGACTGGATCATGGAGTAGAAGTTGTTGGCATTCCGGCGGTTGACTTCACCTCGTTCCAGCCAGGTCAAGAGCACACGCACTGATTCAGGAAACACATTGTCATCTAGAAAAGACGGGAGGAGAGAGGGTGGAGAGAGATAGAGTCTGGATCAATTTTAGTATGGTGGATGAAAGAAAAGTCTTTCTTGTCATTCAGGTAGAAGTAGTGTGAAGGAGAGAATGAGTCTATACAAGAAAGGTTACAAAAGTGCCGCCTTTACAAAATCTGAGTCATTTGACCAAGATAGAAGTAAAGCAGAAAAAAAAGGCAGGAAAGGAGAGAAAGGAATGTGGCCAAAATCAATAACACAAAAGTACAATAACAGAAGCCTCTGCCAACTAAAGTTTTATCTAGCCAAAAGAGGACAAAAGGAAAGAGTTACGATCACCAGGAGCAAGGAAAAAGCTGCCTCTGCAAATTTACTCTTAAACCATGATGATCAGGGACATGCAGGAGTCAAGAAGTTCAATTTCAACATCAACACTTTTACTGTGTATACATTTAACACTCACAGTACACTGTATAAAAGTGTGTCACAAAGAAAGCAAGTAGCAAAACTCTCCTCAACTCTACGGTGGCCCAGAGGTGTCAGGCCAAATACAAAAGCCACAACACAAATAAAAGCCACAACACAAATACAAAAGTCACAACACAAATACAAAATATAGATATTATGTCAATTAAACAGCTGTCTGTACAGATTAGCTTCAGAAATAGACTCAAAATGTGCAAAAGAAAACGCAAGGAGTCTCTGGTAACCTCGGAGACGACAAACATTCATTAATTTCAATATTTTAATGCCATCTCCTTAATACAGTTGTACTGGTGATACACAGACCCATACAGTATTTTTGCAACATAGGTCTCATTATGGAATGCACACAGGATTTGAATGGGCTTCGTGGGGCTCTAACTAACAGTAGCAGCGGAGATAACTAAACACAATAAATAAATAACGGGTGGGAGAGAGAGAGAGAGAGAGAGAGAGAGACATCATTGCTATTACGTTGTCCCACATTTCCATCTCTCATACACATGCAAACGTACAAACACACACACACACACCAGTCCACTACTTGCCCCAGATGTCTGCAATACTGCAACAAAGTTTATAGCCTGGAAAATGCCATCAAAGACTACTGCTCAAGGAGATACCGCAATTCTGCCATT